GTTTAGTACAAATTTGATGTCAGTAGCAAAGATTACCAGCAAAGGTTTCAATATCATTTTCTTTAAAGAATAAGCCAAAGTGATCGACAATGCAGGAAAGACTGGTGATCGCTGAAGAAGAACGAACTATAGAACTATATTATATCAAAGAAGTTAGAAAACTAAATTCTGCCAGCAAAGTGAACGTTTACAGTGTTTCTAAGTTGAAGTTATGGCACAGCAAATTCAGTCATTGAATGAAGTAGACCTAAAGTGGTTAGTTAATTAAAAGCAATGCAGTCCTAGGACTAAAGTGTAGTACCTGTCTGGAAGGGAAAATGGTACAAATTCCCTTTCCAACTTCAAACAGAAAATCAGACCTGTTTGAAATCGTATATTCAGATATCTGTGGTCCAACGAGATCTGGCTCGTAAGGAGGAGCAAACTATCTTATTACGTCTATCCATGATAAATCAAAGCGGACAGGAGTGAGTGTAGCTTTGGAAATATTCGAAAATTATAAGAACGGTTAAGAATCAAACAGATAGGTGAATAAAGAAGCTCCAATCTAACAATGATAGCGAGTTTCTCTCCCGTGAATTCTCCAGCCTCCTCTAGAAAAATGAAATCAAAATGATGTTGAGCATACCTCATACGATCCAGTAAAGTCGCGGAAAGAATCAACCGCGCTCTTCTTGATATAGCAAGGTGCATGTTAATTGATTCAAAACTGCCAGAAAAATTTTGGTCAGAAGCTATATCTATAGCATGTCATATCAAAAATAGATGCCCACCAGTTGCAATAAATGGAGAAATTTCTTTTACCATGTGATCTGGGAAATGACTGACTGTTTCATACTTTAGACCTTTTGGATGCAGGGATACACTATGAATAAAATGCTGAACAAAAGCAAATTCTAACTAAATCACAACTCTGCATACTAGTTGGTTACTAAATGAAGAATAAAGCTTTAGGGTGTGCCTTACCACAAAAAAAAACGAAAGTACGAGTCACTCACGACATAAAATTCATAAATGAAGCCGTGGAATTGAAATGTTTTGAGAATAATAAAGTCACGAGTCAAACGTAAGAACATTAGAGTATATCCTATCTGAGGATTGGCAAGACCATCATAATGAATCAAACGATGGACATCCAAAGAAATGGAACCTATAGACTGACAGCCAGAAACACGAAGTAACACGGCAACATGCGAGCAGAGGTAGAGGAAGACCAAAAATAATTAGATCGGATAATAGAGGAAGACCGCAAAAAGAATATAATCCGAACATTCGGAGGAAGAGAAAAAGTGAGATGAGACAATATATCTCTGGCATAGCATAAGTCCTGAAGTCAACGGATTCGCATTTCTTCTCAAAACAAAACGTGGTCAAACGTTGCGAACGACCTACTGAATGTGAAGTTATCCGGTGAATATTGATATTAACTGATAAATGACAACGTCAATTTGACAGGGGTGTCGAAATCTTGTCGTCACCAGAAGGAGCTGTGTAAGTCCTTTGTTCATATATGTATAAATAATACCTCTTTTATAATTATTTGCCTTTTGTCCTATATTTTACTTAATTTCTTAATAGCTATTTTTAATTGGCTGTACATTTTATAAAATGTATATTTATGTAAATATTTGGCATGCAAATATCTATGCCTATAGATATTTGCATGCCAGAAAAACTAGGGAGGAGAATACCGATTGTGAATTAAAATTTAATGTCAAATAGAAACTGGAAAAGACAAGAATATTTGAAATACAACCAACTAAGAAATGGTAATAATCGGCCCGAAATGTACATATTGGTTTAGTATTAATAAAATTTCAGTGAACTTTCCAATTGAAAACTGGGGTCGGATAAGTCCTTTAAATTTATAGCAAATTAAAAATAGCTGTTAAGAAGATTAATTACCCCTTTTGTCTTAACCTTTTCTTTTCCCTTTGTTACTCTAAGGACAGCACCAGTGAATGTCGGGTAGATCCAGCTAGGTAGATTTGTACAGTACGTCCTATGCTTTTGTATGTACAGTACTGTACAGTACCTATCTTGGGTAATATTCAATAAATCATTGGGTAATAACTCAATAAATGGGCTCTGTATTCAGAGAACATAAGTTTATTTGAAGATCAAATTGACCAATTTGATCTTCAAATAAACTTATGTTCTCTGAATACAGAGCCCATTTATTGAGTTATTAAACGACAAAGTCAAGATAATACATATTAATAAATATGATATCTTTAAATCTTAATTACGATAATTATTTATTCTATACAGTATAATAATGAAGAAAGATTTACAATAAAACAAGTTTAATAGCAATATTTAATTAGGAATAACAATAAAATATATTTTGTAAATTATCTCAACTAGACCTATTGACTAAATAATTATTATAAACGTTGATAACACATTCGTATAATTATAGTTACATTATATATTATTTTCTAAGTAATGATAAGAAAATCATTTATTAAGCAAAACAAACTAGATGTTAGTTAGAAACGATACTTTAGTCATCTCAACAATGCCATGAATTAATATATAACATATTGAAGCAATAATTATCTTATTAAATAGTGTGTTAATATGTCATTTTTCATCAGATGAATAAAATATAAAAATAAGTGCATTAAATATAAAGATAATTTTTTAATTCTATAATATTTTGGAGGATTAAAAGAATTGAAGCCAAGACAAAGAAAATATTTCACTTTTAAACTGTTAAAGACTAAATTAACTAATATAATTTATATTATTGATCTGAAGAAGGTGAAGTGTAATTCTAATTTATATTCAAAGTAGCATTTTTATATCGCAATTTACATTAATGGGCATCTTAATGAGATTAGAAAATTAGTTTTTAAAATAAAATCGAAAGTAAATCATTGATATATGTAGACAGCTCGTGTGGTCCATCATCAATATAAACTGATTATGAACTTAAATCCAAAAGACAGCAAAATAAATAACAAAAATACTTTCACCAATTAAAATCATAATTTTTTATCATTATTTATATAACTGATACATTTCGAAAAGAATGTAACAGCTAGATGTAAATTTGTTTAAAAAGTAAATTAAGAATATATTCATATTAATTAATTAAATGATAACTTAACTAGAAGACTAATATACAGTTATGACAGATTTACAGAATAATTCCATTTATCTAATAAAATGTAAATAAGTAATTAATTCTTAATAAGTAAGCTATTTTAATCTCAATAAAATATCAAAAATATTTAAAACATTTCTTATATTTAGATTCTTTGATAGCCTACATTTTAAACACATAATATATTAAAATAAAAGTTTATTTTCAACTATTATAATAAAATACAGTAGAGCGTCGATTATCCGAATCAATTGGGGACTGGGGTTGTTCGGGGGAAAAACAATATTTCGGATTACCGATTATGTACGAAAAAATATATTAACCTATCCCATGTTGAAATTTTTCTCCGTTGCGTGTCGCTTCGCGTTGAATTTTCGTCGATGTTAGCCTAACGAAGACTATTGTATCGTGAAAAAACTATTTTTTCATTTTGTACAAACAAAATAAATAAATATATTGAAAAATATAAAAACAATAAAAAATTATACTTCAGAAATTAATTTAGTATCAAAAACGTAAAATATTTGAGTAGCCCAAGACATAGCCAAAGATTGCAGCGCCACAGCACTGGCGAAAATTTAAGTTTGCCGACTGTAATTCTTTCGGATAATCGACGCTCTAGTGTAATCAAATTTAAATTTAGTTTAAGAAATTCTAAAAGAAAACCAAAGTGACAGAGAAGATATAAAATAAAAATTTCCGTGCTATTAAAATTCTGTATAAAAGCAGTTTATACTAAATTAAAATAATATGTAATATAAAAGATTTAAATTAAAATTTATTTATTAAAAATGCTGGTGGTAATCATAGGCTACTAATAAATTTTCATTAATTTATTGATTGACTTTTATTATAACTCCCAGACAGACCTATGATCCAGTAACTTAAGTTAAAAGTAGTACTTTTACCCATATAATGAATTGCAATGGTTAGTTTAAATATCATTTAAGAGTAATCTGGATCAGCACTGCGAAATTATACCTTTATTACAACATAGATTACTCTAATGAAATTAAAATTTATATACTATATATATATATATATAAACCTATTATGTATTAAGGACTTATGTAATCAAGCATAAAAAATAGTAGTAAAGAGGGGGATAATTTTAATTGGATAATGTAATGCATGACTCTTTCATAAAGATATTGAAACTAGTTAGTCTATTATGCTAGTATTGTTGGTCATTGCGTGTAGCATATACAATACTTGTCTCAAGAGGCATAGAAGTTGAAATCAGTTTGAACAATTTTACTCATACTATAACTCATTATTTTTATGGTACGAAAGAAAAAGCACGTACTATCCATTTTGTAAATCATTAAACATAATTTATGATAGAGGACCTCTTTGGCACAGCTGTCCGCTTCTCCATCATCGATAACAGCTTTGGCAGAAGAAAACTTTACCAGTTGGTTTTTCTGCTTCATTAACTCTTATGAATATCATCTCGTTTGAAACATGTTAAATATTTTGTTAAGAAATATCCAAAAACGGTTAATTAGAACAAAAATTAAAAAAAAAAAAATCTTAAGTGTGATTAAGAAATTTTACATAAAATTTCTTAAATCTTCATTACCTAAAAATAATTTATTAATGAAAGTATTAAATTCTCTAATTATATTGTAAATTCTTTAAGAATTTTACAATATAATTTTGGTATAAGACTATAGGATTAGGCCTAACTCATTAGGCTTAACTCATATTTAGCATTTTTACTATTATTTTTTTTTATAAATGTAAGTTAATTATTCATAAAATTGAATAATATATATGCTATAAATAAGAATTATAGTCAGATTTATCATTAAGTTTTTAGTAAATCTTGCAATGACTTTTGATTATTATCATGTATTAGGCCTAAAACTGAAGATCACATACTTACACCATAACCGTTAATAACGCGAGATATTAGAGAATCACGAGATCGAGCGTGAGTTAGAATATCACGATAAACTAATTAAATTAATGCTATTTTATTAAAACTTCTAACAAAAAATTATTATATAAATACTTTAAATTATTATTAACCATTTAATTAAATATTTATTTTCTAATTTTTAATCGAAAAAAAAATTATATATCGACCAATCGAAATGCGTTTTACATAATGAAGAAAATTTAAACTAGAAACTGAATGATCTCATTTATAAAATAATAATAAAACTGCTTAATCAATACTTATTTGAATTTAAATATATTTTAATATTTTTTATTAATATTTATAAAATATTTAAAGGGCTTTATATACATTTTTATTATTTATAAAAATCATCCAGTTAAAATCTTCTATCCTCTATTTGAAAAGCACTCTTTGAAATTGAAGTGTGCTGTTGCCAGTTGATTAACGGTTCAAAGTAAAACTTTTGTTGTTTCCTAACCAATTTTGGCATCGAGGTGCCGAAAATTGAGTTTTTTTTCCTTTTCTTTTCTTTCCCTCCCCCTAAGAAGTTCGTACTCCATTTTCCAGCTCTTAAATTAATTTGAAAATTTATTTTTCACAATGATCTGCATGCATTCTATTTACCCAACTTTTAACAAAACTAAATAGATTAAAAGTCGCCAAACATTTTTCATCAATTTATTTTGCTTACATTCATATAAAAATATAGATGCTTTAAATACAGTTGAACTTAATTAAATATTAATAAAATTATATTTAAAAATATTTCAGAGAAAATTTTTCATGTGTAAGATACAAATTAATTAACTTTTTGTGCAATTTTGTACAGCTTTAAAAATTCTAAAAAATTTATTTATTATAGATTCGGTTCTTTAGATATTTATATATAACCAAACAGNATATCAACAACCCTATGACGCCATAATTTAATTTAATAAAATTATAATAAATAAAGAAATCTTAAAAGTACAAAAATTAAGAAATCTATCAAATACTTAAATATTATATTATTACTTTATAATTATTAAAAATAATTAAATTTAAAATTAAAAAATGTTGTATTTCTCTTAAATTTTTTAAAATAAATACAGCCAAAATTCAGCTGGAACTTTAATTTATAAGCATTTTAATTCTTATAAAATATTGATAGAGTAGACTAGCATTTAACAATTTTTTCTACGAAGTAACTATATTTATTTGTAAACTCATCAACATAAAGTATGCAAATAATAGGCCTATATGTAAATGAATTAAAAAGAAAAATTACTTAAACGCAAGCTTATTGATAAATTATATCAATACTTTATCTGAATTAAATGAGTTGCGGTTGAAACTTTCAGTATTTTAAATAATTTATTAATTTTTAGAAAGTCTAAAAGAAATAATTATGCAAAATCGTGTGCATAAATTTTATTTTTTTTTTATACAGAATATATTATTAATTTATGAAGTGCAATGATAGATATTTTTAATATTACTGCATTATTATTGAACTGTACAATTAGTTTTAAAATATCTTATCTCATATTTGATGAATATTTCATTTTAAAGAAGGCCAATGATTAATTATTGGGCTAGATAAAGTTTTTTCACCATTTTTATTAACGTGGATATTAACATAACGTGTTTATTAGACCAAGAATTTAATTTTAATCAATATATAAATGAAATAAAATGAATAAATGAGATGCGAATAGTTTTATTATAGTAAATTTATGTTTAAAATATTTAGAATATTCAGTACAGTACGCATTTATTTATGCTACCTCACTGATTTCATGGCATTCATAATCGATTTCAGCAGATCAGAATAGCATAAAAATGACGGTTGCCGTGAAAATAATAATAGTGAAAAGAATGCTTCTGCTACTAAAAATTTCATTTCAAGAATTCGTTTCAATATTAATGAAAGTTTTATTTGCATAGATTATTTTTATAGATTTTACTCCAGCAACCGACAATACTCTTAGATATATTAAAGATATCGACTTATAAATGCGAAATTTTTAATATATCTACTATTTTTTAATACAAATATTGATGAATAAAGTTTATTTTATAATAATTAAATTAAGAGAGTATAGATTACAACATCAAGCATTAAAAAAATGATATTTTAATTAAATATAAATTAGCATTACTTTTTAAATAGGGAAATCTGATTATTCGAGAAGTATTATTGAAATTATGGAGTTTGGCTAATTTAGAAGTACAGTATTAGAATTTCGATAACATTGACATGATATAATTAAAATAAAATTTTAAAATAACAAAATTGCAACGATACTAAAATGGTTGGAAAAATTCATTTAAACATAATTAACTCGCCAAAAGATTGACATTTTTACAGAATTTTTAATTATTTCCGTCTAGAGAATGCTGTTAATTGAGAAAAGCCCTTTCTCTATTAGCATTCTCTGATTAATCTAATTAACATTACTCTAATTAAACATTAAAGAAATGCATGAAAATATTTCTTCGCTTTTTCATTAGTTACCGAATAGAATGGGGGTTATGCAGGCAACTAATTACTGCAGATGATTTGATATCGTGTTGAACAGTAATGGAACATTGTCCAGATGCCAAGTGGGAATGTATTCTAACTATTCTGATCAAATAGAACGATGTCGAGGATATGGAACAATGAAGAGGAACTAGTTGTATATAAAATTACATGAATAGTTAAAATGTTAAATAAAATGATCTTTACATAATTATAATCATCATCATAAATGAATAAACTTTAAAGTTATTCAGAATCTTCAAGGAATAATTGCTATTCTTGGTAATTAATTAGTAGCTTAAAATAACTCGCACTTTGTTTAAAATTATAGTATACAAACAGAGTAAAATGAAGGAAAATTTACATTCTGATTATGTATACAAAAGGCAAAGATTTATTATCATTCCTCCTAACAGTAACTAATTTCAGTGTAGCATGTTTTAGATTAAAGGCAGCATATTCAGAATCACAATAGAAGTGCGTAAGTTACACTCGAACTTGGTCCATTGAAACGCAGTACGTGCTCTTTGCTGACTTTCGTCTAATTGATAAACATCGTCACAAGATGCTGCACGTTTCAACCCGATATAGTGTTATATATTTGGGTGAAGAACGCGATTGATACGTTTGTATCAAATCACTATAGAGGGAGCCACTTGTCCGTTACAAGTCCGTCATAGCAACAATAGTCACGGTATCCGAATTACGCTTTTGTCAATTCTAGCAATCACTCCGTGACACTTTCGTGACTAGAGTTGTCACGCGTCTCCCACCAATGTCATGTGCTCTGTATGCCGAAAGAGTCCTGGCAGTCACGTCCTACTCTTCAACAGCGAATATCAACAACCCTATGACGCCAACACTAGACCATTGGACTCTAGACCACATGGCCTTTGAGTTAATGAAATATTTTTCTTCGATTTAAGCTACGCCAGGCGATTGTTAAAATTAGACTAGATTAAAATTAAACCATTTAAATAATTTATATGGCTAAAATTATTTCCAAAGACTAAATTCAAATAATGAGAATGTCAACTAACAATCTAATTTACGATACTGTGAAAAATGTAATAATGAAATATTAAAATTCTCTACTTTATTCATAAACCTAATAGAAAATTGCTTAGGCAAAGTAGAATATGGAATTAAATTTTCCAAAGTTGTTAAGCATAGACAGAAATAGCGTTTTGCAATATGATTCGTGATTGGTGGAAATACGACTGAATAAAATTTCGTCCATTTGCATTCGCAATTTGTAGTTGTTGCATCGTCAGCGATCTTGCCAAAAGTTCCGCCTGTCGACTTCAACCTGTTCGATAGTAGCATATTTAACTCGACAGGCGGAAATCTGCGGAGATTTTTAGAAACCGACTTGTCAGAAAAGAGCAAAGAAAAACCCATCACGGTATAAAAATCCCCGTGATATATTATATGCATCGACTTATTATACATTTGAAGTTGGTTTAGTCTGTGTTGAAAAGTTGGAAACTTGTACAAAAACAGTATCAATTTCAGAGTATCTTGCCAAGAAAAAAAAACACATTTTCTACTTTAGTAAAATACTCAGCTAAAAAGATTATTTAAAGATTATGTGCATGTTTTATTTATAAATCTACATTTCGTCTGAAACACGAGGAAAGAGCCACTAAAGACATGTAAATTACAAAGGGAAGTCATTTATTTTCGATCTGTAGTACACACCAAAATTAACACCTGGTTTTGTACTACCATTGATGCAATTCTTTGTTAACTCGGCAGGAAGACTAGGTTTTGGACGATCAATTCACAAAAGTGCGGGGCTAAATCGGGAGGGAATGATCTATCAAAGCCACGCCTCCAAGTTTCGCTTTGCGATTGGGGGGTAGACAAATAATGGAGGGGATCCATTCTGTATGCGGACAGGTGAAAGGCCCTATGATGGATTGAGCGAGCCGTCGTCTTAAGACCTATAGAAATAGCCTTCGATCCGTCTTGCAGAAAATCTCCTTAGTAGGCCACTCAAAACTCTCTCTTTCGCCTCTATGCAGCTGAAGCTAGATCATGTGTGAGAGAAGAAAACTCGAAAAGGATCGGTTGACGACGATGTTTCGACAAACCTTTCTCAATTACATTACATCACTACTTCTCAAAAGTTTGTACAAGAGTCAAAAATAACTCAGAGCTATACACTAGAGCTAAAACTTTAAATTCACTCAAGTAATTTAAAAGTTTCCATAAAATATACCAATCGAAACTTTTCAAATTTTATGTAAAAATATTCTCATATTTATTTATTTAAATTTGACTAATGATTAAAAAAGTTTTTTAATGTTAACAAAGGTTATGATTTTTTATTAACTTATATTATTATTTTTAAACTACATTTATTTCAATCTGTAAAGTTTTTATTGCTTAAATTTTTTCCAAGCATTTCATATTCAAATTTTTAATTCTTTGTTTAAATTTTATTAGCATAAAAGAAAATATTTTTTTTAATTGAAACAAAAATTTTTTTTAAAGTTTATTATCTTTTATAAAACTCTTATTTTTTCCAGTAGAGATGGAGATAAT